AGAACACGGCCACACAGCCCAGAAGACCCACACCGGTACAGCAGGAAAATGTAGATTAAAAAATACCCTTCAAACTGAGGTCAGTACAGACAAGCAGATTTTTCTCTTGTTCTTTCAAAACAACAAGATGATCTTACAATATGATTTTAGAAGTTTCTGAATACATTCAACTTTTTGCTTTCCCAGCAAAAAATTGCTCTTTCTGTGTTCACTCCAGAGCATGTAAACCACAGAGATAAATGGCACAAACACATATTATGCAGTACTCTAGTAAAATATAAAATGATAAATCTCCCTTTAGTTGAACTTCACTCCTGGTGATTATGCTGATGTCTCCATGTTATTTGCATGGCAACAATATGGAACAATGTTTCCTATTATTTTTCCAGTCTATAGCCCTTGACTCTCCTGGTAGTCTCCCACCATAGAACTAACCAGGCCTGACCGTGCTTAACTTTTTAGAAATCAGCCAATATCAACTAGATACTACCCTCTGCTCTGAGGGTGTACCTACAGCCCTAGTCATTTACAGAAAAATCAGAGTGGTCCTAGGGCCAGAAGCAGGCAGGACCTCAGCCCCGAGTGCATATATGAAGCCTCCAAAACAAGAGAAAAGGTGACAGATAAGGATATGGGCTTGCATAAATATTGTACATATACTAATGTATATAGAGAGATGCACATTTAAAAATACTGAGTCTATTTTAAATAGAAATTCAGTACAGCAGAGCGGAGGAAGATAGTGAGGAGGAATTTAGCTCTGGCCTTGAGAGGGAGGTGGGAGAATAGAAACTGTGAGAAAGGGACTCAGAACAACCCCACCTTGATCTTGTTGCCCTTAAAAAGCAGCAGTGAGTGAAGGTTTTGGATAGGCTTTCGAAATTTTGTTCATATATGCTAAAAGTAGCATTACTAGAATCCTTATAGGGTCTATTTCTTGATCTTGTTGGCATGCAACTTTAAAAACTGCCTCTCCCTTTCTTGTGGTCCTTAATCTTTACAGTGAGCAGCTAACCTTGGCTAATTCACCTGACCATACCTCTCCTGAACATCTGCATCCCTTCCAACAATATGTTTCTGTGTAGGATCAGTCTTTACCTTACGGACAAGAGTGGGAGGCTCACTCTGGACAGGAACGGTGGCTTCAAAGATGCTCCGCTTGCTGGCCACGCCCTCTGAAGCTGGTTGGAAGTTTCTCCGAACAGATGGAGACACTTTCATGGACCCTGCCCTCTAGGGATAAGACAAGAGTCACGCAATATCAGAAGTTCAGACTTCTCAAATCAGGAGGGAACAAATTTTATTTATCTTCACCCACACTATTAATCCACTCTTTTCATTATAAGTAGGATACCTTATTTCTCTCCTAATAAATTACTGTAAACCACCCAGAGTCACTCCACAGTGAGATGGGTGCTGACAAATTTGAAATACAAATAAATATAAATAAATAAATAAAAATAAAAAAAAAACATTATGAATACATATTCCTCTTTTTTTGATCTTTTAATCCACATGTATACCAAGAAGGCACAGCTAGGAACTCCCTATGGTAAAGCCCATTTGCTCCCATTATTTACTTCATTGTGGAGATGTATAAATGTCTAAGCAACCATGATACAACAGAATTCACATACATTTCTGTCTATTACCATATTTACCTGGACAGCAGATGTATATTTCTCTAGCTTCTCCTCAAGTTTAACTGTGCTTGCTGGAAGCCTCATACTGGCACTAGTGAAGGAGATACAGAGAAATCAAATTTTTCTAAGGTTCAGAAAGTATCAGTGGTTCTTACAATATTCACTGAGAAAAAACATGGATTCTTCTGATTAAAATTGCAAAGCAATCTAGTCAGAGGTATCTGCAGGATATGGTCAAAGAAGTCAAAATGGTGGCCACAACAGGTGTGATAAAAGTTCCTCCTGTTTTTGAATGCGTATGCGACACACATAAAAAACAGGCAAAGCCTCGGTTGTGCTGTCATGATCACCATCTTAACTTTTTTGACCACACCCTGCAGATACTCCTGAGTCTACTGCATTGGTGAAATTAAATTGGAAATGTCAAACTGTTGATTTGTCAGTATTTTAAGTATTTAATATATCATATTTCCATTTTCAAACAACTAACTCCTCTAAGCCAGGAGTTCATTACCTGAGCTCAGGGAATATGCATCTTACAAGGCCAAGCTGTGACCCTCTGGAGTAGGGTTTCTCAATCTTGGCAGCTTGAAGATGTGTGGACTTCAACTCCCAGAATTCCCCTGTTGCGAAGACTGAGAAACACTGCTGTACAGACTGGTAAAAGGGGTTCTGACTAATTGCTGCTCAAATGTGAAATTCCAGATATGATGGACTACAACTTCCCACATGCTCAACACTCATAGTGGAATAATGGGACATTTGGTTTATCAGATCTAGACAATATCAGGTGGGAGCAGTGTGGAATCCTCAGCAACTCAATGTTTTGAAGTTCCCATGGAGAAACAGCAACCTGGTCATGTTCCATATCATATAATAATATACTCTGTAATCAATTGTTTAATATTTGGCTTGTTTGTTCTCACAAGAATCTTGTAACATAAGATAAAATGTAGCTGCTTCCAGAGCGTTGGTAACGGATCAAGATAGAGAAAGAGAATAAGTATAGTCTGACCACAGCCGAGTTCTTGTCAGTATCATTGATTATAAAATGTAAGAGCTAAGCAAGGAGTTAAACCTTCCACCAAAATCAAGTATATAACTAATATAATTTCTCCTTTGATTGAGATTCTAAATCACCTTATTACATGCATCAATATTCTGTGTGCGCTGATATAAGGGAATGTGTGTGGGGAGGGGGGGAGGGTTCAAAGTACCACCTTACCTGTGATGGAATGGAATTATGAAGGCCGAACTCAGGGAGACAAACATTTTCTTAGCTCGCCAGAACCGTGTGGGAGGATCAAGAGGATGAG